TTTGAACAATTTAGAATCTACACTACCCCAGGATGCTTCCACATAAGTTTCAGCTTTTCTGGCCCAGTGGTTCTTGAGAAGAAGATTTTTAAAAGATTTTTCCTATATATTTCTATGTAAAACATTGATTCCACATTGTGGCCCCGCCCTACCCCCGGGGGTCATGATTTGAACAATTTAGAATCTACACTACCCCAGGATGCTTCCATATAAGTTTCAGCTTTACTGGCCCTGTGGTTCTTGAGAAGAAGATTTTTTAATGACCCCACCCTATTTTTGTCTTCTCTTGATTATCTCCCCTTGTGAGGGGACTTGGCCCTTCATTTTAACAATTTAAATTTCCCTTTACCCAAGGATGCTTTGTACCAAGTTTGGTCAAAATTGGCCCAGTGGTTCTTGAGAAGAAGTCAAAAATGTGAAAAATTACAGACGGACGGACAGACAGACGGACAGACAGACGGACAGACGGACGGACGGACGACGGACAAAATGTGATCAGAAAAGCTCACTTGAGCCTTCGGCTCAGGTGAGCTAAAAAATAAATGTCAGCCTGAGGATTTTTTTTGTTTTTTATGATGATCAGTCAGTTTGCAACGGTTTGTATGTATCAAACAAGCAAACTGATTTATCATCATAAAACCAAAATTTCCTTTAAATAAATTACACACATAATAGAATAATAAAGCATTGAAATACTGCTATGCTAATGACCTTTTAATCAATAAATATGATTATTAAGGAAGTCATAGCAAACTTACATTTAGAAAGTTAACATTTTTGTTATTGTTTGTCAATAAAAAAGAAATAAATCTGCTATTAATTTTGATACTGAATATCAGTAATTTTTAATCACCGTCTAATTTTGGCATTATTAAGATGATCTTAAAATGTCCAAAAAAAAATTGCTAACAATTCACAAATATCTCCCATGAAAATAAAACTCATCCTTAGAAAAAAAAAAAAAATACGCTAATACATTAATGACATTGTCCACTTTTAGGATAAAATCATTATTTTGCCAGTCACTAAAAATAACTCATGCAGTATCATTTATCAATAAAAGTATTAGTCAATCACAAAACATACACTGTCCTGCTTTGTTCATTCCATTACAATTAAATAAACCAGTACAAGCTGGACTGTAGCGTTCACATAAACTAAAACAAGTACAGGTAGTAATCTTCTTCTATTTAACTGAACTTATCCTTCTTTGACATTCACTCTCACTAACACAAACTAATCACACACAAATGACATAATATAGTGTTTCTAATGATGAGGTATCATCACGTATCTTCAGAATTAGAATTATTAGAGGCTGTCTTTTTCTTTTTATCCTCTGTGATGTATTTAATGAAGTCCTCAACAGTCTCTATGTTCTCAGATTCGTCTCCAGTTTTTGGTGACTTCTTCGCTTGAGGAAAAATCTCATGCATTCTCTCTTTGAATTCAATCAACTGAAAAGAGAATTAGACATAGGTAATCAAAGATTACATAAGCTCACCTCAATGAACATTATCTTTATAGAAGGCAGTCCCACACTACACAAAACCATGTACCGAAAAATCACATATTTTCATGGGGTCAAATTTTTGTGGTTTAAGGAGAAAGTATTGGTTCTTGGGGATTTGACTTTGTAGATGAAGAATTGAGTAGTTACCATCTGTATATACTAGTATGTGAAAAATTACATTTCATGGTGGACATAAATCAGTGGGTTGCTTTATTCCTTGAAAACAACAAAAATTAAACCCCCATGAAAATTAGTGATTTCACAGTACTCTGGAAGTATGCATCCCTAGATGCAACCTTTATACAAGTATAGTCTGGGTAAGATTTTAGTTATTTGGGAATGGACCTGCTCCAAATATATCTGTTCAATCAGCCAGAAAATGTAATCATCCAAGCCAAGTCTGGTAATATTAGTTACAAAGTTTTGTAGTGACTGGGAAAGGGATGATATATCTGGTTGGTAAATTTTAAACCTGGCTCGGAAAAGCCTCGCCAGGTATAAAATATACTAACCAGGAATCATCCTGTACCCGTTCACTACAAAACTATGTAGTGAATATACCCCACTGATAACATATATTCAAGTGTCTATGGTTTTTAATATTATTTCTCCCCACGACATATGTTTCATCATTCCCATTCAGTGCCCATTATGACATCACATTGTTCTACTTAATATTGTTTTGGGAGTGTTAAATTGCAGTAAAGTTAGGCCTAATATAAAGCACAGATAGTTTTTCAAGAATATTAGTAAAGAGAGAAAGGGGTTCCATATAATAATAATGTGTGCTCGATACTGATGTTTGTTAACTTTTTTATTATCAAGAGACATTTGGCAAGGCTCACATCTATTGACAATTAAAAAGATTAAGGAACTCCAGTTGAAGAAAAATGGTGACTAACTCACATATAATATGGATCTTATATTTCTTTTTTCCATCTCATTCATTAAGAAGACTTACTTTTGTCTGCATCATTCCCCGATTTTTGTTTACAGATAAAAGACATCATGAAATGATGTTGTATTCCTCCAAGTGTTATAAAAAAATTGATAACAATGTATTGACTGTGTATTGATTTTCAAGTGACCGTGAATAAGTAATACACCCCTTTCACATGATAGACATCAACCAAATGAAAGCCAGGATTTCATCATAATACAGTGTAATCATCAGAGGTGGGGCAAGAATGGATACCAATAGATGCATCATCCAGAAAAGTTTACTTCACTAAACTAGGAATGAACCTCTCCAAACTTTAATCTGCATGGTCACTCATCCAGAAAAAAATAGGTCCAATCCAAGGGCCCATTTTACAAAAGAACTTACAGACCACATACATGTACTTAAGTTAATTGTAAAATTCCTTAAAATTAATGATTCTATTTAAAATTGATAGCCTAGAACTATCTTTCTAAATTCTTTTTAAAACTTTTAAAACCATTTTCAAATTAATGTAAAATAGAAATTAATATTAAGCAGAACTAAATTTTGGTCTTGTATACTCAGAAATAAAATTCTTTTTGTAAAAGTGGCTTGTGAATCCAAACCTAGGCTAGTAGCTTTCTTCCCTAAAACGAAGCATTCATGTAAAGTTTGTCGAGGTTATAAGGCTTATAGTAACTTTGAAATAAATCTGCTCCAAAAACTTTAACCTGTTCCCTCATCTGTAAAAACATTACAAGTTCCCTAGATGCATCAAGACATCTATGTGAGTTTAGTCACTAAATGGCTTATAAATACATGTGCTTGGGAATGAACATGCTCAAAAAACTTTAACCTTTTTAATATTAACTCATCTGGAAAATGTAGGTCAAATCCCATATTCGAAGTCTGGTAGTGTGTATCCCTAGACGCATCATCCATGCAAGTTTGGTCACCATAGGGCTTAAAGTTACACTGGAATGAACTTGCTCCAAAAACTTAACCTGATCACTCATGAAGATAGTCTGGTCGTGCGCATCCCTTGATGCATCATCCATGCCAGACTGCCCCCCCCCCCCTTATTTTGCTGATATATGGATAACTATAGAAAATATAGCTACAACTAGCTTGTGTCCCCTCAGTAAAAAAAGTCTGATGACCTTTTCCCCCCTTTTTTTCTGCTTGTCAAGGAATTTTGGTACTTGATAGCCCCCCCCCCCCTCCCCCAACTGAAATTGCTTCCTACGGGCCTGCTTTATCAACATGTAGAAATATTCATATTACTCTATACATGAAGTATTCAAACAAATTATAAAATTCTAATTTTCTTTTGATCTCAAATCAAAACATTTCTGAAATCATTAAGAGAGCAAGTTAATCATATACATGTATAACTGTACTTATGTAAAATTAATTTAGATCTAAATAGCATGTGTTGGCGCCTTTTAGGTACTGTGTTCCCTGTTTGACATTTACAGCAAACGATAATAATTATAAAAACTATGGTTTCAAGAATGATCTTCCAAACAGATCAATGGACTGCGACATTGCAGGTAGTGCACTTTCCAGAACGACCCGAGATGATTCAGAGAAGCAGACGATGAAAAAATCCAATTTTCCATTGAAGTAATTTTTGTGTTGGCTTCACACTGTGACGGTACCTTGGCATTTTTTTAGGGTCTGATAATGCTCTTGGGAAGATGCCAGACATATATGGACAACATTTCAAACAAACATATGTGACCATTGTTAAACCCAAGGTAAGATATTGAGTATATCACTATATCAACTGTATCAACCGTATATTGGTCATAAATCAAACCTTTTCTTTAAATGAAATGTTTTATCCCCCCTTAATTAATTAATCAACAATTCAAGTTATTTAATAAATTTATATTAACCCCCTTTTTTTGGTTGGAATATTGCCTTATGTTTAGCATTAGGATAATACAAGAATGGATCATTTGATTTAATTGTATCTTATTTATTAATACCAAGACTATGAACATACAATCCATTTATTAGCATAATCTAAGGAGGAAATTTACTGAGGTGGGTGGGTAAGAGATTAAATACAGAGTAATCTCAAAAGATAAGGCTGTATGCCCATTTTATATAATTAGGAAAGTGGAAGGTGGCTTTTTCAAGTAAATCCATCTTGGTTTGAGACTGTTTCCATTAACTGTGTAATGTTCAGCTGCTATGAATCATTATGATTTGTACTTTGAAAATCAATAGCATTGATTTTTTTCAAACCCTGAGGCCTGGAAGGGTTTATATGATAAGTGCCTGTATCTGGTATCAGTGGAATTCAATAGATGAAATTCAGATAACACTTTGGTATAAAGTATAGGTATTTAACCAATGAAGATTTCTTTTAGCATTTCCTTGCAACATTACTAAAACTCCAATCTCCTTTACCTACATGTGATGATGTTCTGTACCAAGTTTCGTTAGAATTAAGGCCACAATAAAAAAAAAATTGTTTGATGTACTCCAACCAACCCATCAAATTTGCCCCTACGCAAAAATTTTTGAGTACATGTACTTTAATTTCTTTTTTCTTTTTTTGACAGGGAAATACGGATTGGCCGTATCATTTTTAAAGGGGCTTAGACACAGATTTGAAGTTAATATTTTCTCAAATTTTCTGTATAATATCATGAATTATATGTTAATTGCTATAGCATTTCACATGGAAATATATAAAAAACTTATTTTATCTGGAAATTATTGATACCACGAATTTCGGGACGCGTTTGATTGACACATCCTTGCACTTTCACAAAGTAAACTTTATCCTTAATACTTAAAAATGTAGAAATTTTGTTGTGTATTAATGAAATATATTTAAACTATAATCCAGAAAATTCAGAGTAGAAATGCGAGAAAGCAAAACCAACTCACTAGACTAAGTATTGTTCAGTCTGTGCTCATGCAGTGATGTGTGCAGAGTTTAACAAATTGAACACACTTGTGAAACATATACCGTTTTTGTAAACAGGGCACGAGCTCTGTTATTATTAATCTTTATGTTTCACAGGGTGTTTTCAATTCATCCATTGTGGTCTCACCCTACCCCCAGGGGTCATGATGAGAAAAAGATGAAACTGTGAAAAGTTAACGACGACAGACAACGGACAAATTTTGATCAAAAAGCACAAATGAGCCTTCGGCTCAGGTGAGCTAAAAAGCTAGACACAAAAGAAATTCATGGGGGGGGGGGGGGTGTTAGTGGACAGACTTACATTGTTAACCCCCATTGCCTTTTTGACTAGAAAACAGACCAGTCCGGTACCAGATATGGCCAAAATGGTTCCATATGCTAAAGCCTTGGAGGCCCACTTCATTTCTGCTCTGCCAATATTGACCTACAATATAAATTATTGTTATATAATATTCAGTACAGAAAAGTCTCTATTGTCTCTACATAGAGTAAACATAATTCATATCAGCTCCTCTGAAAAATATATTGACAGTCATTTAATTTTCACTATTGACCGGAAAAGAGAGATTTCCCATAATATTATTGATTTTGATTCTGATTATTAGATTGAATGATTGTGACGTCATGATACCGTTGAGACTTCCAATAAACATAACGCCACAATACAAAATCCAGGTAACACAATCATGATTCGCTATCACTGCAGTCGACATGCAGATAGCACAAGGGATACAAATGAATAGTTAAATGTTAAAAAATGAAATACCATATTATTTTTTTTGGTTTTTCCTATATTATAAAACAATTATAGACTGTGTTTTCAGAGAACTTTATGTTAGCTCCCTCTGGACAAAAATATTGCCCTCTACTCAGCATTTGGCATTATTATATAGTTTATTTATAGTCCCTATATAATCTATTCACACACAAACGGTTCATAATCGCCATTTTCACAGTATTTGTGCTAATTGTGTTGTACTTCGACCAAAAAATAAAAAGTCAAACAGCACATTATTGACATGTTTTCTAGAAAGTACAATACCTATGCAAATGAGTCCCAAATTTTTTTTATATAAGCATTCTTACAAAAAAAGTTATGCGAAGTCAAATTTTGGGCGAGACCTTGTGTTGCGGACACTACATTACACCTGTTATGTCTGAAATAAAATATTAAAGATATTTATTTATTCCAAACTTCTTGCGGGTTTTGATTATGTACCTAATTGCAGTGAAATAAAAGAAAAATCTTATGGTTCTCTTTGAAAACAAAAATTTTATTCACATTAATAACTTGCTAATTTTTTTGCCTAATTTATGTCCCTTCCTTAAGTTTATCTACCTTTACAATCACACATATGACCTATATAATTATCATGTGAAAATTAAATTGAATACTTCTAAATTTCAAATACATTTGTCATAACACCCTGGATATCTTCGTTTGTATCTTGTCTACCTTTGAAAATGCATAGCATTTTTGTTGCATTTTTGTTGCGGACACTACAAGTAACCATAAGAATAATCTTTTGTCATTTTTATAAAAATAATTGTTGATAAAGGTTCTAGGCTGAATTATATACCACAGGATCAACTCTTGAAAATGTACCATATAAAAAGATGCAGAATGTGGTTTATTGAGATGAAAATAACCACATAACAAGGAGCATTAATTATTTCTTGATGTATAATTGTTTTGCAGTTTTAAAAAATGTCTATGATTTTACTTATTTTAATACAATTAAAGAAGTTATAACAAATAGTTTTATAGATAAATTCAATGAATTAAAGAATTTACTGAGGCATCCATAATTTTTTTTTCAGTATTGAAATTGTTGCGGACACTACAATATATTGAAATATTGCTATATGACACCATATTTGGTTTTAATGGAGTAAACTGAACATCTTAATCTCTAACTAATTCTATATGTACATATATTATAGGGAAATAAAGAAGGCTAGTCAAAAATGGCTATCCGGCCTGGAAATTAAAACCCATATATATACCAGTAAGTTTGAAGTGTTATCTTGTACAAAAATCACCATTTGTTATCTTAATCCAGTTAACTAATTGTATTATCAAAGGAGCAAAATATCAGAGAAGTGTTTTACATTTCAAAAATATTTAATGAAATAAAAAGTGAAAATAATAAATGAATGTGGTATATAGTTATTATTGTAGTGTCCGCAACACAACTGTATTAATTAGAACTAGACTTATTAATTAACAATTAACATCTTGATATATTCTTTAGTTTCCACTTATTCAGTTTTAAATACCACATGAAAATTAACTTTCAGTATATAACATAAGACTGACAATTGAAAGATTTTGAATATTATGTATAAACAAGTCGTTATGGGTGTTATTCAAAGTATGAAGTTATAGTTCCACTAAGTTTTATAACCTTACATATTTGTATTGAATATTTGGACAATTATAGTGATGATCAATTGAAATCATGTTACATTTCTTTGAAGAAACTGTGAATTTAAAAAGCTGTTGCGGACTCTACAGCGTTGCGGACTCTACAAAACACAATATATTTGCCAGAATTCCAAGCAATACTGAGCTAAAGTCTGATGTTTTTTGGTAGATAGATTAGTAGCTGTACTGGCCTCTTACACGTAAAATAAAAGAAATATAATTCACAATGCATTCCAGAATAAGCACATGTTGCGGACACTACAGAATTTTGGGACATTTTTACGCCAGTAAGAAGAAAATGTGTCATTTTCTAAAGTTTCGAAGAATCCACTCAAACTTTTCTTTATTGTTTCATTTTTCATTTAACTCTAATTTTAAAATGAACCTAAAGTAAGAGTAATGCATAAACATATTTTTTTTTTAAACTGCAAGTTCAAACAGTAGAATTTTATTAAATTTCATAACGTATCTGCATTTTCACATATTTAAACATTATTTCGCTAATATTTTGTTGATTTACATACAGTAAATTGCATATAAAAGAGGGATAATTTCACAATGATTTGACATCTATAACTAAGAGTTTCTGTTGTAAATCTTCTGAAACAAAAACTGGAAAACAAAGCCATTTTTCAGCTGCAACAGCATAACGCAAAATACACCCCATATTTTAGGTGGTAAATCTTTAATATTTTTATTGTCTAGAACATGGGAGTGTTATATATCATTTAACTTGTTAGGGGTACCATTTTGTCATAATTTGGTCATAATTGTTAAGGGTTTAATCATAAATTTTGATGCAGAGTGCATTATAACATAAGTGAGTATGAAAAAACACAAATTCTGTGAAAATGGCGAATATATAAATATTGCATGTAGTTGAGTGTAACATTGAAAATTTTCACCCCAAGAAAGCCATTGTCAACCGAGGCACAGCCGAGGTTGACAATGGTTTTCGAGGGGTGAAAATTTTCAATGTTACACTCAACTACATGCAATATTCATTATATTATACTGAATGTTTTATACAAATACATATAACAGTGAACCCTGCATGCAAAAATTCTGCGCAGTCACTATCTTTTGGAATATCACCCTTCGTCAAGCAATGTTGACTGTTGCTACGCTGGAGGGTGTGGCTTCATCATTCAGCGGGTAATAGTGTTTTTTAACAAATGTTTCTTGACGAATCAGATTCAACTAATTTACATGAAAGTATAATACCTCTACATATTCACTGGATTTGAAGCTATATTAATTCACAAGAGGGTCAGTGCGCATGCAGCAGCGATTGTGAGATTTTTAAAGATTTTCCCTGTATATTCCCATTGTGACCTCATCCTACCCCAGAGTGTTATACACTACCTGAGGATGCTTCCATGCATATAAATACTGTAAACATATAAATACTGTAAACATATTTTCTTCCACAGGGTCATAATTCTGTGGAATCTTAATTTCTCTTCAATCCACGGGTTGTAAAATTACATGGATTTCTTGGATATCTCCAGGGGTCATGTTTTCAACAAACTTGTCTACACTTTGTCATGAAGCCTTCACATAAGTTTCATTTTTTTCTGGCTCAGTGGTTCTTGAGAAGATTTTTAAATCACTCAACCCAATTTTCACTTTTTCTAATTATCTCCCCTTGGAAAAGGATGTGGCCCTTCATTTGAACAAATGAGGCACAGCCTCGGTTGACAAAAGTTTTTGAGGGGTGAAAATTTTCAATGTTATTATCCTCAACTACATGCAATATTTATTATATAATACTAAATGTTTTATACAAATGCATATGACAGTGAACCATGCACACATAAATTCTGCACAGTCAAACATATTTTTGGAATATCACACATTGTCAATTAATGTTGCTACTCTGGAGGGCATGGTTTCATCATTCCGAGGGTAATAGTATTTTTTAACAAATATCTCTCAATGAATGATCAATCAGATTTAACTTATTTACATGAATGTATAATACAGATGTATGTTGCACAGCCTAGTGAGTGTAATTATTGTTACATACACAGTGCAACAACTTAATTTATCAACATAAAGTTAATTAAGTAAAATTAGCTACTTGATTGGATTCATATTCTTTTTTTTTCAAATGGTAACAAAAGCGTGTGCCCAACTAGTGTTGTTCAATAGTCGCTGAAGGCAGCACTATGGTGACAATCAATTAAAAATTTTAAAAATCGACAGTTGCTAATTTTTTCAAAATATATTTTTTAAACAAAATGGTTTTCTCTTTTAACATTATCAAAGGATGTTCCTTTATTTTTCTTGTGAATGGCGCATAAATTTTCCCACAAATCATTAAATGAAGTTGGTCTCACAGATTTGTATTATAATATCGTTTTCATTTCTGAGAATATCTGAAAATTATATAGTTAACTTTATTTAATTTAGCCTTTAAATTATAGAAGTTCAAATTATCGATCATATAATCGACTGTATCCTACCGATTCAATTTGATAATCGATAGTAAATTTGGTCCAATTTTGCAACACTATCCCCAACTAACTTGCACAAACTCAATTATCATAATGACAAATTTCTGACTAAAGGGACATATACTGAAGATGATTAGTCCAACATGTCCAAGGGTCATATTCCTTCAAAAATTATCAAAGCTGAGAAAAAAGCAAACTCTAAAAAAAAAAAAAAGAAGACTCACATATCAAAAATCAGATCAATGTTTTCATGCATCTAAAAAAAGAAAAAATCTGGAAAACCTTAAAAATGATACATTTTTTAAAGGTCAAAAATAGGGGGAAAATGCAAACTTATCTCATTAAGGTAGACACCTAAAGTCAGCTAATATCTACAAGCATCACAGACAGACAGACTGATGAACCAACCTTAGCAAAATAAAACTTATCCACAGTAAGGGAATAACAATCAGTTGCAGATGTAACTGCACTGGTTAAGGATTTAACAGTAGTTCTACTATTTTAACTACTGGTATAAACAGTAAAAACAGTTTTATAGTGAAAAAAATAGTGACTAATTCATATTTACAACATTAAAGTCTAATTCATCCAGCAATAGAAAATGAAGAATCCATAACTTATAAATTACTGAGAAAATCAGAAACAATTTTAGCTATTCCTGTGATATGCTATAATCATGTACTCTGTAGGGGACAGTAATTTTTTTTTTTTTTTGGTCTGAGATTGTTAAGATTCTTGCATGACTCCACTGAAACAAGATCTAGTGTAACAAACTGGGTATTTGGACACTGCACCTTTATTTTATTGATTTAACATGGGAGTACAGAGTTCACACACCCAACCATAGTTCTATTATGGCCTTTATCACCGAGTTCCATTGTGAACATTCACCATGACACTTTGAGTCAAATTGTACTCAACTGCTGAATAATTCATCCCCTGGATGAAAATTCCGACCACGACATATCCCTCTTTGGCAGAATTTTTCCATCATTTTGAGTACTGCAATCATTGGAAATTTATCATCACAAAAGGCAGACTTTAGAAGCAGGGCTCTCTCCCAAAAATCAATACCATTACAACAAGTTGCATCTAAAGCTCTGTTACAGGCATCATATAGTAAGGGAAAAAAAATTCTCTATCCAATCAATTTCTAGGAAAATAAAACTCGGTGGCTATTTTCTTGACTATCGGAACTTAACAAGTATATGACAGGCCAAGAATCAATTGGCATGGTCCATCAACAAAAGAAGGTAAGGACTGCAGGATCACAATAGATCAGGTATTCTTAGAAAGTTCTGTAATACGAGGACATATGATTGCCTTTGCTGCATGATCAAATTATTATAATCAGGGTGTTGTTCATGACACTATCAACAGACCATATAGGCCAAGGAAATTTACATGTATCCCCCATTGTGTACAGTGTATCATGACCTGTCTGTTGCTAATAAATCTCCTGATTACCGGTATACTAAATTGGAGGTGGTGACCTCATTTGTAGAGTACATTTGTAAGACTAAAGAGTTCTTAGTAGGAATCAAAGCCAACCTAGACAGTCACTCATCAACAGATAGAACACATATCATACAAAAATGTATGACATTCCCTCATAGTCTTGACATAGAGCCAGTTACATGTAGGAAGCTTAATTAAATGTCAACAGTGGAGTGTCAAATGGATGTCTTTTTACTAGTCCAATTCATTTTTTTAATCACGTCTGCCTTTCACTTCTTTAATGCCAGTTGCATGAATTAAGATATTAATTTTGACGAGGTTGGGATTTTGTTATTTGATATATTACATGTACAGTATATATACACCTACTAACACACTGAGTGATGTAAGCACTTAACAGATCTGCCTCTCACATGTACCTATAATTCCATGTTTAAGTCTGTCACCATGCCATCTACTAAATACATCACTCTCTGTAAATCTCCTCTGTGTAGGTTATTACACTGATATTCCTAACCCTGTACAGTAGATAAATCACAATCATACATGTAATTACATTGTACACCTGTAGACTGCCTGTCTCACATGATTTCTCATAAAATCCTAATGGAGGCAACAGTTAATCATCCATTTGTCAGCTAGTCCATCACACTTTCTTTTTTTCACAACTATTTTTTTACTTTAAAGATAGCCAAACATTTCTTTTTGCATATACTTGATCATGTATATAAATAATGTAGATGACTGCTGTGCAATAAGGTTCTGGAATTATGATTTCAGTCCCAAGGTACAAAAAGGGTCTAAAATGGTGTTTGATTATAAATGGAACTTTCCCTATATTTCTAGAGGTAGGAAAAATAAAATCTTTGTTGCATATGATCGGCCATGTCTTGTAGACACATCTCCTGTATATATTAAGATTAATCACTGATCAGTTATCTATACACCTCACAGTATCTTTTAAGGTACATCTGAAGCCCAGTAAGTGCTAAAGATTAGAAGGAAAAATAACACTGCCAACAGCCCACTTCATGTGAATTTTCTACATGTACAAGTGTTACAGGAGAGCTCTGCTTTAGACAAACGGATTTCTACTATTGCATATGCCATTACTGCCATATGATTTTCTACATTTTTAAACATTTTGAAATGCCTTTTGACTACTCCATATGAATATCATACATGTATGATACTTATACATATGACTAATGGTTAAGATTTGTGGTGATTGACCATGTTGACATGTGCTCCTACAGGAAAACTTTCAGTAAGAACCATGAAATCATTTTATCACAGTGATTAAAAAGTTCTTTTAATATTATTTAGATCAAACATGGGAAAAAAGAATAAAGCATGTATGTTATATTTTTCCAGATTGTTTCATTACTAAACAATCTGGTCAACTTTGAACTGTTATTCTTGCATGATTTTTCATTAACTTGTTATACTATGTTAGTACTAGTTAGAATAATCTAACTGTGTCTCAGGACAGGCCCTCACCACAAACCGGGTCTGTAGGACATTTGTCATTTTAACGATAGAACGTTCTATCTATGTTAGTACAGATTCCAACTTATCTCACTCCCTATGATACCATAATTCAGGCCTGAGTATCACAGAGTACCGGTACCTTACTTTTTGATATGAATTACAACACACTGATGTTTGTAGGTCATTTATTAAAACATGTTTTCCTTCCTTTGTTTGAATATCAGTAACAAATTAAAGACTATTTAGCCTATTGATAAAAAACAACAGAATTGACTAAACACAGATAAAAAACAGAGAGAGAAATGACATGGCAGGTTCTTGTTCAAAACTGAAATATCTTCCACTGAGAAAATTATACATATAAATTATTATAAGAAAATAAAGAAATTCAAAAAACAGTATCCCAATACTACATGATGATATGATACTTGTATCATGGTAACTCATGATCAAATGGATTGATATATTGTCATATTGTTACACCTTACCATGATTACTTACCGGTGTAATGGTACTGCCATCACCTTTCTTGGCTGCTAGGGCGTACGCACTCTTGAATTGGAAGTAAGTTGCTAAGCCTACCACTGATGTCAGAAGAAATCCCTCTGAAAGATGGAAAGATACATACAGTAAAACTCATTTAATACGAACATATAGATATAGCGAGTTTAAGGATATAGCAAAATATTTTGCAATTCCCGACAAAATTCATAAGAATTGTTTGTAAAATTTTATGAATACATGTATAACAAACTCTGATATACAATGTTTACTGTTATAGCGAATTGATTTTGTGTCCCCTAGAAGTTAAAATAATAAAATTTACATCTTTTATAGCGATTTTTCAAAGATTTGAATTTTTAAAATATTGAGCTAAAATTAATTTTGTAAGTATTAATATATGAAACTCAATTCATCCGAAAACTTTTGAACTCTAATGTAAATTTTGTATTTTATATACCTCCCTAAATACATTTGTTAGTCAAACTTGACTGAAAAATCTATATCGCAAATTTGTTATGTTCACTTTAAGGAATTTGTTGTATGGATATAATGAATTATGGATATAATGAAGTAAATTCAGGCACAGGTCCCCAAACTTTGTTATAACCAAGTTTTACTGTTCCACTAACTAGAGACCAGAGATTTTCAGTAATAACAGAAACTTAGTCAATATTTACCTTTAACTCTAAAATTTCATCACTTCTGCAAACAACAGTAGAGCTAAAAATCATGATGTACCCAATAATACCAGTATACCAATAAAATCGCACATACCTAGGAATTTTCAGCTGAATGTAATAATCCATTTCTTAGTATTTTGCCCAACTGGGCTAGTGCTGAAAAAAGTTTTAGGCCCACACTGTCTTAAAGGATTTATCATGGCATCCATGGATACTAAGGGAAACCATACATATAACACTTCTGATTAGATATAGGGAACAGCTACATGAATTTAAATCAAGTTTAACCAGAATTTGAACAACTGTTTGTTGAAGGTTTTTAAGTCTTCACTCGTATAGACAGCAAAACCTTGGCTGGTGTGCTGCTGATTTATATATACAATCTATTTATTATTTACTTTTGTACAAGACCGTATCATGATATTGACTCTTAGTCTTATCATGCACTGTTGAAAGAGACATGACCTTCTGTAATCCTTTCAAAAAACAAATGCAGTTTAAAGATTTAATAAAGTTGCTTTTATAAAATACTAACTTTTAAAGTTTTCTTTCCTTCTGTTCCACTTTTCATCTGCAGTTTCAATGACTGTAGTTGTCGACTGAGAATTTCCGACCTGATCAATACCACCTTCTTTCCCATCAGCATGCATAACATGCTTGATGGGCGGCGCCATATTGTTTACAATGTCAAGGACAATGAAAATATACTTCAAAAGCCGATAATTTTTATAAATACATATATTGTCCTATATACATCACAAAGGCACGACCAAGTTAGATTTCTACGTTTTTTGGTTCTATTTTGAGAAAAATATTCTATTTTCCCAATTCGCGCATGCGCAAATAATTTATTATCAACAACAAGAGAATGGTTTCCTGTGGAACGAGATCATGTCGAAATAACCGAGTGTGGCCTTAGGGTTTCCTCAAGTAATGTTCATCTTGTCATTTTCTGTTTTTGTAGAAACACAGACTTTGCAATGACAAGGTTTCCGATAAAAGCTCACCTTGGGAAATGGATACATCTCCTCTCCCAGTGAAGGAAAACTCTTATGTTGCCGTGGCCACGGACAGGGTTTCCGAATATTCCGACACAGGCTCGACAAAGAAAATGCCGAAAAAAATGACTCGAAAGTGGGAAGTGTTTCCTGGGAAGAACAAATTCTGTTGTAATGGGCGGATCATGATGGCACGGAATACTGGGATATTCTACTTCACTTGTATATTAATCGTAGTGACAAGTGGTTTATTTTTTGGATTCGAGTGAGTGATTTGGGTGTTGTGTAGTAACATTTAGTAGAGTAATGTTTAATTAAGTCTGTCTAACATCTCTAATAACTTCACCTTTTAAATGACATTGTAGATTTTTTTTTCAAAGAGCTTAAGAGATGAGATTCAACTGTTCCAAAAAATAAATATCATTTTCATGTATAGAGTAACTGACGCAGACACACAAAAAATCATATATTGATATTATACTGCAAAAAATATATTTCATGACAGAAAAAATGATTACTTATGTAAAGTCCCTACCTAGTTTACCAGGATGGAACTGAATATTCTGTTAACCATGTTAACAGGAAATACATGTACAGTTATAGTCGTCATGTTTATATATTTAAATTTGGTTTTGTGGCAAAATACTTTGACTTGTTTGATTTCGGCATTTATCTCAGTCAGATGAAAAATGTTTATATTAGACAGACTGCAATTCATATTTCGTCATATTGTACAGTAGAAATTTTAGCAAAGTAATATTTACTCAATGCTCAGTAGGACTGGGACAATAGAGGTATCATGCAGTAGGATATGTACAATACATGAACATGATGAAGAACTTAGGAGAGACATGTAGGTTCCATAATTTGTGTGAGTTAGTTACCAATTTTTCTTTCTCCAACTCTGGCAACTTAGAGTTCCTTTAAGTGATATATGGCCTATTTTTGATAAGTTAATTCAGACTAACTAAAATTAATAAGATCTTTCTACTTGTTTTATTACATTATATAAAGATAGGACTTTCTTGTAAATTACACAATTTAAATCAAATGCATTTCATAGATATCAGAAACTCAAAACAATAACCGATTTATTTACGGACTCCGCATTTAAATATCAGACACAGTTTAAAGTCAGTTTAACTATATAAATGTTGGGTTATTCAAGTTCAAAATCGGTGAAAATTTTTATTTGAACAATTCAACATAAATAACAAATACCACGTTCATTTTCACTCAATCTTGCAGGGTTTGACACCAAGATTTTTAGGCTTTAGTCTGGCTGGACTAGTGCTTCTTAAATACTATGTTAGAGAACTAAACAAAAAACCAAAAAACAATCACTGCATGAGTGATGAAACATATAGCAGTTATGGGAGAGCATATTTTACAGTAATTTTTTTCTCTTAAACTTATATGTGTATTTAGCATGTTTAGGATTTATTCTTAAAGGAATTAACATTATATCCTGATAAGTAATTTAATACAACAATTTAAAAGAAAACAATTCTTTTTTTTTTTTTTTTCTATCTCAGGAACACCAAAATTGGACAATTATTCCTTAAATGAAATAAATATATATAAGATTTGGCCCTTGTGCTTACTAGGTTTATGCTCTATGCTATAGATCAAGCATGTAACATCCTCTAGCATAACAGAGCTGAATCTTTCTTAGGTCTGGGTAGATGTATTGCTTACAGTCATGGAAATAAAGAATAAACCCATTTGATTTCCATCACTTCCCATGAATTGCATGCAGACTTTTGCACACTGGCATGATAGCCAATCAGTCAATTTCAGATTTGTTATCTGGTATTATATTCATTTCCATAAAATGAATAGCTGAAAAGGAAAGATTTCTCATTTTACTCCTCATGTTAAGTTGTATTATTTTTGGGAGGGTGGGAAGGGGTTGGGGAATCATTTCTGCCAATAGCAAATGTTTAGTTGTAATCCTCATGTACATGTCTATCCTTAACAGCTTAATGTAGCTTACTTAAATGAAGTATGACTCCCATTTCTAGCTACAACTAGTACAAGCATAATAATAAATATTAACATGCAGCACTCTTAAAACAGACATGATTTTCTTTGATGTCTTATGTAATTATGTCCATTGAAATGAAAAATTCTCCTTAAGTAAGAGAGGCATTAATGTACAATGACTGTTATAACTTCAGAAAGAAAAGAAAGAAAAGAAAAACACATTTCAAAGCAAGAATTTAACAAAATAATCTATGATTACTGATATTTACTCAAAAAGTATGAATTATATAAACCCTTGCTAAGTTAGCTTTCTGATATAAGACACTGGATTAAAGTTTCGTCAGCAAAAATTAATTTCAAACTTTGTAACCTGTTTATCATTAGAAATGCAGTGATTTTAATTCCGTATGAGACTTGATTAAGTTTTGATTTCTTTTTCTTTCAGCTGCCCATACCTGGCAAGAAATGTCACCCCAGCCATTCCAGCATTTGGAATTGCCCTATTTATTTTTGTAATGTCTACCCTGTTCAGAACAAGTTTTAGTGATCCGGGAGTGATACCCAGGGCCTCGCCGGATGAGGCTGCAGATATTGAGAGACAGATAGGTAGGTCTAGTGTGTCCTCACTACAGTAAAACATACATATATCAAAAACACTTATGTTCAATTCACATGTGAAGTGAAGTGATTCTCTTTTCCTGTAGACTAGTTTTAAAACATATTATGAAATTATTAGATATAATACATTAATTTTTTTGATAACAAGTCAAAACTTTTCATCCTTTACTGTCTATTTTATGTGTGTTTGACTGTATGTTCATTGAAAAGAAATTTTATTAGTTAACTGTAATAAACAAAATCGTGTGAAAAACAGCACTAGGAAAACGTGACGTGCTCGGATTATGGAACCTTTTTAAAGAATTCATCCTTTATTTAGAAGTGCTATGTGTAAGATTTTTTTGATGTGTATACTGATTACAGATGCCTCCTCATGTCTAAGTTACTAGTACATTGAATAAAAAATGTACAGAATTCTTACGTCTATACACCAGTGTTTTCAGGTAGACTAAAATTAATAAAAGAATGCTGCAATAACAGATAAAATGAGGTATTAATCACAATTATCATATAGTTATTACCAGGGTTAATGCTTTTGAAGTTCTTATATAACAGGCTAAGTATAGAATATTTACCTGTTGACGCTTACAGAAAGTCAATAACACTTCATTATGGGTCTTTTGTTAGCAATTAGGACCTTGTATAATAATACCTGTTTAAGGAGAAGGTAAATATCATGGGAATATCACGTTTCCAATAATTATTACCTAAAGCAATATTAGTTACTAGGCATTTATATTGTATATATATTTTTATGGTACACTTAATTATAGACCTCAAGTTCTAGTTCAGATTATTCTTTCAAACCAATATTTTTGTAAATGAGGTATAAATTATATATGTTGCTGTATAAACTGAGTCAAATGTACAATTTATAAATGAAACGTAACATATTAGTGAGTAGAAACTAAGAAATTAAGGAATTCATATGGGCCGCATAAATTATAAGTAAGTTTTCCCAATAAATGTACATAGCTTAGAGAGAGGAGAATCACCCTAAATCAAGTTGTCTGTCAGTGTTTAATTTAATTAATAAATTAATATTTAATGAATTAAATTTTATTAATTTAGGAAGTTAACATTCTTTTGTTTTGGGCAGTTCCTAAGTGACATTAAATTTGAATACAAAGTGAATAATTATCTTTACTTGGTTATCAATAAACAACAAAACAAAAAAGGAATCCATTTTCTGTTATATGTGACTTAATTGGTATTGATGTAATGTATTTCTTTATAACAGAGGTCCCTAATTCTACCCCAGGGACATACCGCCCACCCCCAAGAACCAAGGAGGTAGTTATTAAGGGACAAGTTGTCAAATTAAAGTACTGTTTTACATGCAAAATATTCCGACCGCCGCGAGCCTCACACTGCAGCCTTTGTGATAATTGTGTCGGTAAGTTGATCGTTATCAGAGAAAACATATACATAAAACAGAATTCATCGGGTTTTTTTTTTTTTCAAGACATTTTATTACCATGATTACAATATATTAATGACAAATATCTCTTAATTCCTTTATCATGTTCATGTCCTAATTTATAACTTATCATGCAGAATTCTCTAATGCATTGGAAATTTTTTTCATTGTTGATGTTTTTCTTTTCAGAGAGATTTGATCACCACTGCCCCTGGGTGGGGAACTGTGTTGGAAGGAGGAATTATCGCTACTTTTATTTATTTATTCTCTCCCTATCCATACTTTGTATCTATATATTCGCCTGTGTGCTTACTCACCTCATTTTACGTAAGTTGCCATTTTTACAAAAATATATTTCAATAAGAAATCTCAAAAACTTGCACAAACTGCATAGTAAAAAAAAAATGTGAACAAAGCATAATTTTAGTGCATTTTCCTACATCTTCAAAATTTTTACAGGTTAAATACTATTAACATTGAATAATGATTGTGGGGATTTGGGTAATTAATATTAGGAGATTTTTGTTGTTGTTGTTGTTAATAGCAATAATGCACCTGTAAATTTACATGTAGGAATGATCTGTAATAACAACTGTGTAACAAAGCAGATCTACTTGGGAATGTTTACACTAGTTCTATAAGTACACTTTGTTGTAAGGTGGTTTGAGGGCATCTGTCCTTTGAAGCAACACAGATTATCATAACCATGTTTTATGATGAGCTAAAATGTACAATAGATGCTTTTGGCAAATGTTGTCGATTTTTAAGAATAAACAAATGAAATCTGCACAGTCTTCTGGCAAAATAAAAGAAAGATGTAGGGGAAGTCTTAAGATATATCTTTTGTGATTTGATATCAGACCACAATCTACATAAGGCACAAACATTAAGTAGATCAGGTCAGGAAAGACGAAAAATTTTAAGTGATGAAATCCTGTAATTTTGTTTATATAGTGAGCAACATTGTTATGGTCACATGTTAAGTACTTTTAAATAGCAATGACCTTCATTTTTTTTTTAAATAAAAGTGAATGCATAACTCTATATCACTATTGATCTTGATAGAATTAATATCAGGTATGGCAAATAAACCAATATTTGAGGACCACTCTGATGACTATAAATTAAAAGGACGAAATAATATACTATAAGAGTTTATTTTAACTACATGTTTTTATGTGTAGTAGTAATATTTTTTTTTCTGCATGGATGACATGATCTTTTCTTTGTTTCAGGTTCACAGGAAGACAATTTTTTACATGCAATGCGAGACTCCCCTGCTAGATATCCTTTTTACAACATTGTCCTTAGCAATTTCTGTCTATAATTAGGAGACTCCTTTCAGTAAAATAAAGCTTTAGCTGCTCTGCTATACATGAGAAGGATTTGAATAAAATTGGAGAATGATTTTATGAGGTTTCTGAAGACCTAAAACCAGATTACACTGTAAAAGTGAATTAATTTCTTCATCCTCTAGTTACTATCTTTGGCCTCAGGATGTTAAGGAGTAGATTGGATTGCTATAGCTATAGAGGATATTCTATAAGCTTTCCTTCTTTCATGATAAGAGATAAAGAGCATTTTGTGATGAATTGGATGTTCATTTCAGACATCTTCTAAAATTATTTCCTTGTTCTTGTCAGATGTCAGTGGTGTAAGGACACATCTTCAGACATGCATAGTTCTTTGCTCTTATTGGAAGATGTACAATACATACATACATACATACATTGTGTATATTTCACATTCAGGTCATTTTTTTCAAAGTGCATTTATCTCATTGATTTGTGTGTGAGGTTTTTTTTTTTTTTGGGGGGGGGGGCTTGTACAACTATATCCAACACAACTGAAACTATCTCTCTGAAATAGGAACGCTGCTTTGCAAACTGCATATGTTGTATCATACAATGTATATGATTCGATAGAGCTGTGACATTTATTTCTAGTAATTTTCATTGAGGTCACCTCGGATACTTCTCTGCAGTATTTATGGAAATGCAAAAGAGAAAATTCATAACTCATCTTCATTTTTTGTCCGTTATAGAATTGGATAATCCAGCAGATCAAATGAACTGACCAAACAATGGCTGACACAAGAATAGCCTGGTCTGTAAGCTATAAAGTGCTGCTGAAATACTGATAAGAGTAGAGGGATCAATATTTCTATATGAGTTGTTGGAGTCTGTCTTTAGAATCTCATCAGTTCTATATTGTATATAAAGTGAAATCAATATTTGTCTAAGAATCTGTGACTTTGATATGAAATGACAGATAGATATGCTTGTTGAGGTAAACTCTTTAGAGCACGACTAGGAAGAAGGGTGAAGTAGGGGATGAGATTAGATTTTCAGTATTTCTAGAAAGGCGGTTTTTGTATGAAGTCAAATTAATTTAATTTTTGATATTGTAAAAAATTAACAAGATTTTATATAAATAGTTCAGGTTGCCAGACTACTTTCTAGTATTTTCATTTTAAGAAAAAAAAATTACCAACAAAAAATAAAAATCAACTGTAGGATATTTGGGAGGAAAACCAGTTTGAAGTAAAGTAGAATTTTATTGACAAAGTATTTTTCTTTTGAAAATGAAAGACATTGAGAAAGAAATAACCATACAAAAAGTATGTATTGAATGGCTTAAATTAATACACTTGAGGACAAACTAATTGATTCTGAAAATGGCTACTAAAATATCTCCCTTGTGAGGAAATGATGGATTTCTGAAGAAATCGGTCTTTGTCCTAGTTATACGACAGGAAACATTCTCCTTAACCATTATTCTACCATCATTGAGGCTATCATATGTTTCTTTTCGGTCTGGTCAATCATTGGTCTTGCAGGGTTCCATACCTATCTAGCTACATCTGAACAAACCACTAATGAAGATGTGAGTAACTCTCCTATCTTCCCAGTGTGCTGAATTTTGTCATTTAATTTTTATCACTTTATTATTCATGTTTATATCAGCATTTACATTTTGGTGTGCTCACAGAATTACCAAATACACTGTACATTTGCTTTCGATGTTTTTGTACATTTTATTTTTTTCATCAACTATGCTATGCTTTATGCTGGATTGGGTATATAACACACATGTATAGCTAAAAGAAGGGTTATTTTTAAGGAATTTATAGTCAATGAATTTATTTTGTTCAGTAAAAAGAACCTGCTGAGAATTTTGTGTACAATAAAAAGTACCCCACTTTTTTCTATGTGATTTATTTGAGATGCTTTAATCCTGTTGTCGATGTTGTATTTTCCTTAACTTTGTTTTACTGTGATAGAGGCCATTATCTGTTTCTTTTCTGTGTGGTCAGTGGTGGGCTTAGCAGGATTTCATACATATCTAGTAGCTTCAGAACAAACCACCAATGAAGATGTAAGTACCACTGCTTTTTTCTCCAACACTTTGCTTTTATATTTTGCACAGCATATCTTCTTCTTGAGTAAAATACAGTTGAGCTTTGTTATCTCAAACTTTGTTATCTCAAAACCGTGGATTTATCAATGTGAGTCAGAAGTCCAAGCCACTTTTTCTTAATGTATATAAACCTCAATATCTTGAACCATTAGATATCTTGAAGTTTTTTCTCAATTCCTTTGAGTCCAAGGTAACAAGGTTTGACTGTATGTGGTAATATATGGATATCAGAATTATTTTTGTCTACTATGGAGGAGACATTGTTTATTCCGGTTTGTCTGATGTTTTACACTTTTTAGCTCACCTGAGCTGCTCAAGTGAAGGCTCAAGTGAGCTTTTCTGATCACTTTTTGTCCGGCGTCCGTCTGTCTGTCCGTCTGTCTAGCTGTCTGTCCGTCTGTCTGTCTGTAAACTTTTTACATTTTCGACCTTCTCAAGAACCACTGGGCCAATTTCAACCAAACTTGCCACAAAGTATCCTTGGGTGAAGGGGATTCAATTTTATTCAAATGAAGGGCCACGCCTTCTTTCAAGGGGAGATAATAAAGAATTAGTGAAAAATTAATAGCATCTTTTAAAATCTTCTTCTCAAGAACCACAGGGCCAGGAAAGATGAAACTCATGTGGAAGCATCCTCAGGTAGTGTAGATTCAAGTTTGTTCAAATCATGACCCCGGGGGTAGGGCGAGGCTACAATGGAGGATCAAAGTTTTACATAGAAATATATAGGAAAAACCTTTAAAAATCTTCTTCTCAAGAACAGCAAAGCCATGATGAGTCATATTTATATGGAAGCATCCTCAGGTAGTGTAGATTCAAATTTGTTCAAATGATGACCCCGGGGGGTAGGGCAGGGCCACTAAGGAGGATCAAAGTTTTAAATAGAAATATATAGGAAAATATCTACTTCTGAAGAACTGCAAAGCCATGATTAGTCATTTTGATATGTAAGCATCCTCAGGCAGTGTAGATTCAAGTTTGTTAAAATGATGACCCCTGAGGATAGGGTCGTGCCACAATATTGGGGGGATTGAAAATTTTTAGGAACATATAGGAAAATATCTTCTTCTCAAGAACTGAAAATCATGTTTAGTCATTTTGATATGAAAGCATCCTCAGGTAGTGTAAATTCAATTTTGTTCAAATGATGACCCCCGGGGGTAGGGTGGGGCCCAGTGGGGGGTCGAAAGTTTTACATAAGAACATATAGAAAAAATATTTCTTCTGAAGAACAGAAAAGCTATGTTTAGTCATATTGATATGGAAGCATCCTCAGGTAGAGTAGATTCAAGTTTGTTCAGATGATGACCCCTGGGATAGGGAGGAGCCACAATGGGGGATCCAATTTTTACAAAGGAATATATGGGGAATTTTTTTTAAAATCTTCTCAAGTACAACAAAACCATTTGTTATATTGACATGGAAGCATCATCAGGTAGTTTAAAATTCAAGCACCCCCCCCCCCCCCCCCCCCAGTAATCTTTTTAATACTGAACTGATTTATGCTTTTGCCTAGCCAATGTGCTCAGGTGAGCAATGTGGCCCATGGACCTCTTGTTAATGGTTTACCTGTTACTTTAAAGTTGATATTACCTATGACATGAACATTTTTATAAAGACAATTCAATCCATTTTTTACAATGGAAAGAAATGTTAACATTAGAAAGCCTGTCCAAGCTGTAAATTCATTATGTTTGAAATGAATTAAATAATTTTTGGTCAATGTAGAGTATTGATTTCTCCTAGTTTAGGGTTATGATCTGATTTAAGGTCATCAAATAGCCAAAGTGACATGATGAAATTATATTCCTCATAGAATGTAAGCTGTACATAAATGTGCTTCACTTCTGTAGGTTATTAGACATAATTTTTAGATCTGTCTTACATGTATGTCAAGGTCATTGGATTGGATCAAGGTCATGTTACTATGAGATGCTGAGATAAATCACAAAATAGTTTGAGCTCTAATTTTGATAATGTTGATTGCAGTGAAGAAAAACTTGCTAATGTTCTTGCGTATGACATAAAAGTTTTTCTTCTAGGTCTCAATTTTAAGATTGAACCAGTGGAAGGAAAAAGAATTCAGCATAAAATTTGACAGGGTTTTAACTGATACTCATATTTTCCCCCTATGGCAATTTAGGAGAGAAGGGTACAAAGAAATGACCAAGTATGTTTTGCTGATAGATTGCATTTAATCTGAATGTGTCATAATTATTTTGATGAGGTTAAAATGAAAGGGATAGATAATCAAAAAATGTAGAATTTCCTACTCAAAGATTGCCTCTAATCTTCAAGAGCTGAAGGTGAGATATAAAAACATAATGTAGACATGATGTGTGTCATTTACAGATACATATGATCCCCCAGACAGTATAATGGTGAGAGAAACTTGATCTTAACACCAGTGACCAGATATATATAATACATTAATTGATTATTCACAGTTTCAGACTCAAGTCTAAAAAATCTGTAATTCTCAGAAAAATTTATTAAATGACAATCTATAACCTAGCTAGCATTTTGAACCCATGACATACTTGCAATTTATCAATGAAAGCCATATCATACAATGAGATATTTATATTCATATACAGTTCGGTATCTCGAACACTGATATCTTAAGTACCATGGATATGTCGAAGTGACTTGGAAGTCCCAACCACATATTCCTTTAGTATTTTATCCTTGATATCTTGAATTCTCAGATATCTCAAAGTTTTTTCTCAGTCCCATGGAGTTTGAGAAAACTAGGTTTGACTGTATTAGTGTGTTTTTCAATTCATTATATCACAGGTCATCATGAAATCCTTACTTTGATGTGATCAAACATTTTCTTGTTTTATTTTCTGATATTGATTAACTGTTCAGTTATTTTAGGATGTGATTAACTATTCTGTTGTTTGATTTTTCAGATAAAAGGCTCCTACTCTGCAAAGAGAGGGCAGGACAATTTCAACCCCTTCAGTCAGGGATCTATATTTAGAAACTGCCTGGGTGTTTTGTGTGGTCCTACTCCCCCAAGGTAAGGGGTCTGCAGTAGACTAACGCTACTGAACTATTTATTTGTTGAAAAAAATAACTGACAGTGGAGGAAAAATATCATTGACTTATTAAGTTTTAAGGTGTGTTCCTGGTCTAACTAGAGTGTTTATTTTTCAGTCTGTTAGACCGTCGAGGTTTTGTCATCCCTGACAGTTCACAGTCACAAGGGGTAAATGCTTCTACTGGCAAAGAGAGTAATGCAGTCAATGTTAAACATGAATATTATGGATCTACTAACAATACTAAGGTGTGAGCTTGTACTGACCAGCACTATCATCACCAAATAGCTAATGCACACATAGAGCAAAGTACTGCAACCACAAATAGTACAAAATTATTAACTCTAATGTAGAACTCTGACTTCTTGCATAGTTGTAGTAGCAATAGTTTGTATTACACAATTATTTCACGTAAAATGATATGGGCAAAATATTCATGATTTTTAAAAAGTACATATTTCACCAGGGTTCCACTATACAGGTGTCCTGTAGTGATCAGTACATCCATTTATTCGTCTGATATATTACTTAGGGCAAAAAAAATTACTAAAAAGTTTCTCAGGCACCGCCACATCAGGTCAAAAACTGTCACATTGATCAATTTTATCAACGTATTGAAAAGGGAAATAACTCAATTTTCTGTTTTTCCAAGTTGAAAACAAATGTCAATGAGTTATTCCCCTTTCATAAATGCTAATAGGTAGACGTTTTTATTAGATAAACAATATATTTCTTGTTATTAGGGTATTTTATGAATTAACTTTAGTTTTAAAGTTTTGAATAATATTACATGTATTGTAATATTATAACATTGTTAAAGTTAAATACATGTTATAACTAATGTAAAAGAATGTTAATGAATGGAAGTTTTAAATCCTATACATATGTACTTATACTTTTACATGTAAGCTCTATATTTTGTAAAGGAATATTAATTTATATTAGGTAACTATGAGATGACATATCAGAAAATGAATGAGGCCCAGTTTACGTGTTCAAGAGTATAGTGTTTTTGAGAGTAGGCTTCATTTCAAGGGGTTCGGAGGATTGTTGTTGAATTCGATGAAAGACGTTAATAAGAACATAAATTTCTGTAGCTTTCTCCATGAAATGACATGTTTTCTAAATGAAAAGATTAATTAGTGATAACATGATATACCTAGGTATCATAAATAAAAAGTCTCAATGTAGAATAGGCTAAAAGATATTGCTCATTAAATTGTAAATTGAAAAGGTATTTATATGACACAAAAGGAATAACTTTTGTTGCCTTTGAACATTTGTACACAAATACTAACAAACCTTTGTCACTGTTCACAGACTAACAATGTGGGAACAAACACCGGTAACCATGTGACAGGAAGTAATGGCACGGGACCGGTGATGAAACAGATGATAAGTTACCAGACAGCGGACGGGTCAATCAACAGCCGACTCCCGCCCACCAATGGTAGGTCTGTCGGTGTCCTAGGACTTGTATCATATAGTGTCACTGTATACCATGTCACAAATCTTATCTCTGTATGTTGGGTTTTAAATTGAATTCTTATTGACTTAACAGCCCTCTATACACTGCTGAAAAATGGGGGTTTCTTTTGGACATTAAGAAAATTATCATATAAGGGTGTAAATTCTGAGATCACCTATTTCATTTTTGAACATAGGGTACCAGCCATTTACCCTCAGGAAAAATGTTCAAGGACAACTAAGTAACAGTGAACAAAAATCACTTTTTCTTACTTAGAGGGGAAAATTACACGTAAATAAAGTGTACAATTAATATATCTTGGTCTGATAAAATAAATATATCTTACCTGGTAGTCTGATAAAAAGTTATGAATGGTGAATTGGTTTCAAATTGAGTAATGCACTGGAGATTTCTGTTTTATTTTAGATCAAAGGGCAGATCACTCTAACTGCATAGAAATACCACTGAATTAGAACTCTTTAATTTGTAGTGTATAGAGGGTCCTTAAACATAGTGTGCATCACTTCATGTTTATTGGTATTCTGAAGATTTTTCACAAATAGCAGAGTATAATACTAAAACCCAATGAGATTACTTTGTAGTAGTGAAATGCCATTCTTGATGAGAGAATCATACAGTGTATAAAAATCGTAGCTCATCAGTGAATGCTAGATTTTATGACTAAGTTCCTAAGATGAGTTCTTTTATTAATGCTGCTTGTAACAGTGGGTAAAAATCCCCTGTGGAATACGACAATGACACAGCTGACTTATCAGAATGGTAAGTTATGTAATGGTCCTCACAAATCAGTTATAAGGGCAGTTGTGGGTCCTCTGTGAATTTAAATTTTGCTTAACACTAGAAGTTTCATGATCTTCATTATAAAAGTTTACATTTGGATCAAATTTTTGGAAAAATAGTTACACACACCAATATTACCGGTAATTAAAAGGGGGGAGGGGGGGGGGGGGAGAGAATTTGGACATATTTTAAAGTATATCTAAATTCCTTGACTGAATGAAAACTCTAATAGATGTAGAAATTTCTATAAACAGAATCTGAAATGATGGAAATCAAAATATAACAGTAGATGAGATAAACAAGTGCTAATTATAAACAATTTCCTTCCAGCCCTGCATCACCCCTAACTTGTCACTGCTTTGGTAATGGGGTGGTAGGTGAGTAGTCACGCACCCCTACTGTGGCTTTACAGTTCCACATCAGTTTGGGTTCAAAAGGCAGTAGTAGTTGCAAACCTTGATGTGTTTAGTTTTAGGTCACCTGAGTCAGTCAGTTGACCTGTTGCTGTGTGTTTCCATCCGTTTTATTGTTGGTAAATAGGAACATAAAGGCATGAAATATTCATAGTCTCTGTCCTTTGGGGCTGTGGGGTGGAGCCAAAAGGAAAAAAAAAAGAGTCAACAAAATTTTCTTTACTCCTGGAGATCTAGCAGGCAAACTGTTATCATAATTAGCACTGTTGTAATAAGCATCTACCAAAATTGTAAAATTCTTGACCCCTGGGTCCATCATTTTAGCCTCAGATTGGGGCAAAGTTAATCATGTGTTGATAATGCATTCTTTACTGTTACATCTAGCAGGGAATAAGATTGCTTTAACTCCTCTACCAATCCCTAAAATGGAAATAAATTGATCACATCTTGAAAGGGCATTTTACATAAATTTTTCTCTTCAGTTCTTGATATGAATACAAAGGATTGTGAAATTTATGGTCCATGGGTCGAGATTGCAGGATTCAGGGTGGGGATGAGACATTGAAAATGCATTATCTTTGAAAATCTCCTTACTACTGATCCCTCATCATAGATGTATTACTGCATTTTATGGATGAACAAGAAGTCATCTACCAATACTGTGCAATGTATGTTACATTTATACAGAGTTTTAGTCCAAGATGGGGCTAATTTGATCATATGATATGTGTTCATGATACTCTGATGACTATCAAGGCCCCCAAAAATATATACATGTATTATCATAGTATTTTATATTGCTTTTATTTGATGTTTTCATGCTTTTTTGTGCTTAGAAGAAAAGTTTTTCTTTCATGTGAAAGTTGTAGAATATTATTTTTTTCTCTATTGTTTAATATAGCATCACATATTTATTAAGTTTTATGTATATGATTTTTTTGTTTTGATTTATAATAATTATACATCCACATATATATATAGAAATCCCCCAGAGTCTGTAGACTTGCTGTAGGACTTTTATTCTTTTCTGTGTCTCAGCAGGCAGATATTTTAAAGAGTTTTTGTGATGTTTGTTGTAACTATCATGCTTGTGAAATACACAAAAATTTAATCAATTAATGGATAGTTTTATATAGACATGTATAAGCAAATCTGTGTGATTTTATCTCTTTTTGTTTACTTGACTACAAATTTAAACTCATATGGTAATATATGAATAGAAAATTTGTAATACCCAAAGACCACAGTCATTTACCAACTATCACTCACTGGCAGAACAAGTAGGAAATCAAATTTCAAAGAAGTGTGTAATATTTTAGGGAAACAGAAAATTCTTGAGTTAGAGAAGATTTGACCTGAACAGCTGTTGAGAAAAGAAGGAAAATTTTGTTTCAAAAATGTTTTTCTTTATAAAATTTTTCAGGGTGACTTTTTTTTTTCTTGAAAGCTAGTATGTAATGTTTTGGAGAAATTACAAGCATGTAGATATGAGATTGATTTAAAAGTTCAGTTTTGCATTTATACATTTTATGTTTGGTTTACATGTAATATGCAATAACCTTTTTATAAACTGTGTAGAGAGGGTTTTAATGTCCCCTTGTCAATTTCTTGGTTAAAAAAATACATAAATGCAGTTCTGCTACTAACACAGTTATGTTTTTGTTCTTCTATCATAATAGATCATAATTAACCAAAATGAAGTCCAGTTTATTTTGTGTGGTTACTTAAAACCTATGTTGAAGAGTGTATTGGCACTTATTTGTCAGTCAGATGGAACTTTTAATACGTTTTACCTTCTTACAGGGAACAGTTCAGTCATAGGATATAAAGATTCCCAGCATCCGCTAAGTGTGACATACACAGATGTATCAGAGGGGGGTCGCTGGAGCAGCAGAGATCCTTACAGCAATTCTGGGAGTCAAACACAACAGCAATCATTTAACACATGATTACACCTTGACAATTTACATATGAAATCCACTGAACCTTACTTTGTATATTGTATCTGGGAATGCTTCCTGTCTGTTTACGTTATGTGATAATTTAGTTGGATTTTATTATATGAATTTTGTTGTGTGTGTAGAGAAGATGTATTATGCATGTGACCAAAAAAAGCACATTAATGATTATGATTGCAAATATATTTATGTGTGCTGTTTGAAAAATTGACATAGGATGTACTCTAAGTACAGCCATATATATCATGTATATTGTAATTTATTGATAATGTTTTGTCACTTAGATTGTGGAACAAATTTATGAAAGTTATATAATATTTAAAATCAGGTTCTGTTTATTGCTAAAATACAGATTTATTGTTGTAAAAGTGAGGGCTAAATCTGCGTAATGCTTTAAAAATCATCTAATATGTTTTACTTTTTCATGAAAGAAATTTATGAAACAAAACCAAATCCATAATTTGGGAAAAAAATTCAATAAAAGATCATGAATAGAATTTACCAAATTTAGCAGATTGCAGTTACTATATTGTATCTCCAGTGTATGTAAGAATACATATAACTATGTAAACTATTTCACTTTAAGCTTATAAAGCTTTTTGCATGTAGTGGAACAAATTTTTGAACAAGAATTTTTTTTTTTTTTAAATTAAGCATATACTTCTATTAAGTACTCCAGATTAGAGATATAATTTTAATTCAAAGTTTGACAGATAATTTGGTTATATAAATCTTAAAGACATAATAGACTCCAGTTGTTGAATATTTAATTCCTAATGAATGACACCACACGAAGTTTTTCATATAGATTTTGGCAGGGACAAACATTCCAGTTACTAACATTCAATATTTCAGTCCATCTTTATTCTTTCGTAGTAGTATCATTATACACCTGGTGTCTTGATACACCTAATGTCATCATACACCTAATTCATTCTTCCAAGAGTGCTTGTATTTTCTGGTTGACTGCTTACATTCATAGAGGGATGTCATACTGGAGCGAGTTGTTTTGGATGTGACAGAAGTTTTTTTTAATTAATCTTGTTATCAGAAGTTTTGATTTTATTTTGAGTCAGAATGCCTCTGATCTCTGTAATATCTGAGATAGCAGTGGTCAGCACTATACATCATTTGTAGATGTATAGTGCATGGGTATTAGTTCAACAAATGTGTTTTCTTAAAAATAATGCAGAGGTTGTTAATTTTAAAACTTTGTTGGTATTTAAATGTTGACACGAACAAAAATTTGGTCTATGTTCTTTATATCCGACTACACTTTAAGATGTATTTGAAATAATGTCACAATCCAGTCACATTATAATGGTGGTGTAAGTCAGACAGGCAGGGGCTGATATGTATTCCCTATAAAAAAAAAAAGCTAGTCGCTGCTCATTTTACATTCATAACAGCATTTTAAAATTTGATCTGTTGATCTCTCTGCAAAGGTCAAATGTAACTGCATAGGTGATGGAGATTTTACATTTTATATGATGAGTTTGCAGTAATTGAGCGCCGCTGGGGCATTTCTTTTTCACCAATACATACTATTATTAGATCATTTCTTAACAGTCATACTTTTGCTTAGCTATGATGTTTTCCAAGCTTTTGATTCAGTAGTTATGATAAATTGTGTAGATTTCCAAAATTATTGACTTGTAGGTTACTGTGCATATAAATATACTTGTATATGCTTAACCATGACACATGCAGTAATTCATATCGTAATATGAATAACCAGCCTGGACTTCATGTTTAGGAGTTATTAAATGGCTTGTCTCTTGTCACATTTATTTTTATCACTACAATTACATTTATATTTTATCACTACAATTACATGAGTAAGAGTGTGTTGACAAAAAGTTATCCGTCAAAATCAAATTGTTTGTATGATACAGTTTATAATTGAGAAGTAAATGTGATCATCTTTAAGTTTTGTATTCTAAGATATGGAATAAACTGATTTTTATTTAGATTCTAACATTTTGTTTTTCTCTCCTTTGATAAAGAAAATAATTGCATAGTTCTTGTGTCAGTAGGATGTTGCCATTTTCTTGCAGTAAGATGAGTGCTGCAGCACTTGATCCTCAGACCTCAACTAGCAGGACAAAAGTCATGGACTGACCAAATGGAAAGGTCAAGGTTGACCTTACAGTTTGTGGACAAATTATGTAATTTTAATTTTTTAATCTTCAGTAAGTTGATGATACAGGTTCCCGAGTACAGTGCCATTTATTTTAAGTATTTAAAAAAACAACCACTTTCAGAAATATGTAAACAGTTGAAAAAATCCTTTATAAACTACCCTGGACTGATATTGTGAGCTTCTAAAACTCATTTGTACTTGATTTGATCATAAATTTATTTTGAATGTATTATTTAGAGAACGAGACAGGTACTGTATCGTAGATACAAATTTGGGGGTGGACGAGTGCGTAGCACGAGTCTCCACCCCCAAATTTGTACCTACGACACAGAACCTGTCGAGTTCTCTAAATGATTTGTGACACGATCAATAAAAAAAAAAGCACCGCCCACTTCATAGCTGTGCAGCATCCAAACTTCCGCCAGAGTTGTAGATTAGGCCTCGACGGGGAGTATACATCCGCAGTATATATATTTCCACGGACAACGTAAGATTTAGTCAGATTAGTTTTGACAACGGGGTAGACGTAACAGACTTGAAGTCAGTCTTAATTGATAAGGTGGACGATTTAACCTTGTTGTAGATGGAGATTGATCCTAATTTATTTCAGGGGTCTTAAAATATAGATACACATACAGGCGATACAGACAGTTTTTCGATGGAGTTTGATGTTACGGATTTTTATTTTCTTATTGAAATGCGACATAAAAAACGAAGTGAAAGAGATGTGCGGCAGTCGTCAGCGATAAGGATTTAAGATGAAATTAAGAAAAAAAACCTGAAAAATGGACTTGATTGAGTTTGCACGAGAAGGGTGGAAAATGGGGGGAGGGGGTGCGAATTTCACGTAATGTATATGCTGCATCCGCGAACCCATTGGCTTTACTATTTTGAAGGGGACACAAAAAGCAGGGAAAGCAAATAGGTTTTCAGGAATTTATCCAACATAGGATGTTTTCCATAATTGCGAATTTTCCTTTTCGTTTGGATCGAAATAACGTGTAAATTCTGTGTGGAATAATTTTTTAAAAGTGATTAAGAAATTTTGATATTTTACATTCCTAAGGAAATATTTCTTCAAAATTTATAATAGGAAAAAAATCAGCATTTACTGTTTATACTAGTCCGAAATATCTGACGTTTTCCTTACTTTTTTACGATTTTGATATTTTACGTGCCAGGAAAACGTCAGAACCGGCGCAATTAAGAAAAGTGGAAATTTCGCCTTCTCCAACCGGAGTTTATTTTCGATACTTGCAAACCGAATTAAATGCCGAGCTCACAATTTATCGATAGCACAATGCTTCTAAGGTACTCACCAAAAGAAAACATCACTCCACATTTCGATACAGGACTTGCAAGATTTTAAAATGCACGAAATGAAAAACAAATCTCGACAATCAGATAAAATGTTTTCATCAGATGGTATATTTTATAAACAAACCATAAAAAACGATGTTGGTGAGCACTAAAAGTATTGTACTATTGATAAGTTGTGAGTTTGATATTTAATTCGGTTTCCTAAGTATCGAAAATCAACCCGAGAATGCCGCCTCCGGTTGGAGGCGGCGAATTTCCAGTTTTCGTAATGGCGCCGGTTCTGACGTTTTCCTGGCACGTAAGATATCAAAATCGTAAAAAAAAGCCAGGAAAACATCAGATATTTCGGACAATATTTATAGGTGCTTTTGATAATTGAATCAGATTTATTTTTACACCTTGCTGTATTTTAGATACAGAACAATTGGCGTCGCCCGCGTGGCGCAGTGGTTAGAGCGTTTGCTCTAGAGTCGCGAAGTAAGGAGTTGATCCTTACGTCGCGGGTTCGAATCCCACTATGGGACGTGGAGACCGGTCCTTCGGATGAGACCGTATAAACCGAGGTCCCGTGTCGCAGTAGGTGCTGGCACGAAAAAGACCCCTCACTGCTCAATGGCCGTAAGTGCCGAGTATAGGACAAAATTTGCAGCTCTCCACCGGCAAGTGGTGGCGTCTCCATATGAGTGAAAAATTCTCGAGAGGGACGTTAAACAACATACAAAAAAAAAAACCCAGAACAGTTCGCTAATACAAGACAGTAAACAGGGCTAAGACAGAACGGAAAGTAGCTCCGCCCACTGTAGTCTCGTTCTGTATTGCTAATACAGAACAGCAAACTTCAAAGAAAAACACCGCAATCGTGTCACAACTTATTGTTACAATTCACACAGTTTTGTTCACGGTATACCCAGGCTTGTGACGGTGCATATTGTCGCTCTGCACATGTCGCCAAAACAATTTGTACCTACCCTCGCTGCACGTATTAATTGTCGTCCCATCGATAAATATTGTTACCGGCAATAGGTACCGAGACGAGCCTTTTTTTCCTCCTGCAGAATGGACAATAAAATGTACACACAAGCATCTGCACATACATGTACTGTTTGCGGCGATAATATCATATGTACTGTGAACATCTGCAACTTTGTCGCCAAAGTATTGTTTTGAAAAATATTTTCTGAGGGGAGACCCACACTAAAATATGCACAGAGAGGCAGACGGAATATACATGATTACAAGAAATACTTTGAAGAGAAGAAAAGTGCAAATAACATTATTAATATAAATTCATAAAAAATAGGAAAATTCTCTCACACTCTCTTTCTGAAAGTTCAAGCAAACACCCACTTTTTGTTAAAAAGAAAGAACGTTCATCCCTTTCAATGGGATCACTGATATCCAGTGCACTAAAAAAGTTTTAACCAATTTCACAATATGACTGAATTAAGAAACACTTAAGAATTTAGTCCGAAATATCTGACGTTTTCCTGACTTTTTTTTTTTTAACTATTTTTACATTTTACGTGCCAGGAAAACATCAGAACCGGCGCCATTACGAAAACTGGGAATTCGCCGCCTCCAACCAGAGGCGGATTCTCGGGTTGATTTTCGATACTTGCAAAGCGAATGAAATGTCAAACTCACAATTTATCAATAGTACAATGCTTTTAGTATTCACCAACATCGTTTTTGTGGTTTGTTTATAAAATATATGAAAACATTTTATCTGACTGTCGAGATTTGTTTTCATTTTGTGCATTTTAAAATCTTTCAAGTCCTGTATCGAAATGATGAGCGATGTTTTCTTTTCATCGATATTGTCGAGTACTAGAAGCATTGTGCTATTGATAAATTGTGAAAACGGGGATTTAATTCGGTTCCCAGGTATCAAAAATCAACTCCGATTTGGAGACGGCGAAATTTCCAGTTTTCGTAATGGCGCCGGTTCTGACGTTTTCCTGGTACGTAAAATATCAAAATCGTGAAAAAAGCCTGGAAAACGTCAGATATTTCGGACTATTCAGAATTATACAAATTCTACAGAAGCAGATTTAATGAGACTTATAAAATGTCGTCCCCAACCTCTATAATTTCAGTACATGTAAATCACACAAAAATATAATCCAGATAATTACTAATGAACAGAAAATTAACATTTAATCTCCAAATGTATATAACGAGAAAAAAGAACATGCCGAATTATCAGATAAATCCAGAATCCGGTATCTTGGCATATCATACCTGGACACAATTTTCCGAGCAAAAAATTTTCTGTATACATTATTCCTTGTTTACTTATCTAATTATCATTATCATCATCCTTATTACTTCAACCCAACATATTGCCAGCGACAATATGTGCAAGTATAAATTGAATGTATAATTGTTTATTATTTACCTATGTTTTGCAGGTATGTGAAACGAAAAAAAGTTTCAAATGTGATTCGAAATCTCTCCAAAGCTCAAGGTTAGGCGTAAGACTGAACGCGTTAACCACTACGTTACGATGTGTGCCAGACTTAATAAGCAAGTTTGTTCAAGCGTATAATTTTTTCCAGAAATGTTCGATTTTCATATAGAATGGGTGCAGACTCCATTTTTTGGAAACATGAAATATATATTACATTTACTTTCCCGTCATTTAAAAGTTAATGAAGAATGGAGACTTGACCCATTCATATTTAAAAATCATTTTTTGTGGCTCTAATAAACCCATTAACCACTAATTATCCTAAACTGTCAACTTTTAAAAAAAGTTATCAATCAATCAGTCATTCAATAAAATAAATGAATCAAACGTGTTGAAGAGGATGCTGAAAACATAATTTTAGAAAAATATTGAGATTGAGAAATATATTCTCTCATAACGGGGGTTGTCCTGGCCTTGTACGCCCTCTTTCTTTCATGTAAATGGATTTCCTCCCTTTGATCATGGTATATAACTATCATCAATAACTCTATAATTCATAATTTATTTCATTTCAAGGTTTCTTTTTATTTACTTTATCCTTTAAAAAAGACACATTCCTGTCTAACTCGAACCAACAGCTTTGTTGTATTTTACATGTGATAACATAAGGGACCAGGCAAAATTTATCACAATGATGGGACCGGTACAAACAGGCATGGGACAATGAATTTTTTCATGGAAGAAAACCATGGGACAAAAACATTTTTTAGCATTAAGTAGCCATGGGACAAACACTTTTTTAAATGAGTTACAGTACTTCACTCAAGAGACACATTTATTATATTTAAACATATTTTATCTTTTAAAAAATAGATTCTTCAAAAAGTCATCCTATCTTTTAAAGTCAAACAAAGGATACAAAGTGCAGCATAAATCTTCAAATTAATACTGCATGCAAAAATAACAAAGTAACAAACAATGTTAATAAGAGTTATGAACATGTACAAACAAATTATTTCAATAAATCATTCAAAATATACTGCTAACAAATTCTAGAGTAACATCTTTAAAACAAAGAAAATCAATCATGTATTTTACA